TCTTGGGGAAAAAGTGGTTTTCAAAATCCATTTTCAAAGCTTTTCACCTGCATATTCCCAACTGCTAGCCATAGTTCAAAGTGGATAATTCTCAACAGGATTACTGTCTCACAATGTTATTTTTGCTTGCAGCCTACCTATCATTATAACTCTGTTCAACTCCTTTTGCTATAGACATGCTAATATAAAATGCTAAACCCTGGACCTGTTTCTTTAATAGAGGATTCAGACGTAAGGAATCTGAGAAACGATTTAACCTCCAATTTTATTACTTAGCTGCTTATCTTTAATGAAATGTACAAAAATGCTAAGACCGGTACTTATTTTACATAGAAGGAAAAAAAATATTTATATTACTGCACAATATTTTACTTGGAGTACTTTACATCTCTTAAGTTCTTCCTAGCATGAATTTGCACCCCTGAACCAATTAAAGAGCTACCTTTCAAAATTACTCCGATTGCTCCATTGAACTATCTTCTTCACTATTATTAAAACATCCAACTTCTCTAATTGTGTTGTGTGCCACTAAATTCCATTTATGATTATTTCTGAGGACTTGGGGACTATAAATGAGAGTATAAAGTGCAGCAATAGGTGTTATGTTAATGTAACTCATCTTTCCACAACATAAAAAAATAACTTTCGGACCTCACTTAACCAAGTGGATTAAAATAATGTAAAGTATCAGTGCTGGTAAAATGAAATGTAGCCAGGGGCAAGAAAAAATAAAACAGAAAAATAAGAATCCCACCCTATTCCTTTCAAGAATGAATCTTAAGGAAGAATCCTTTCACCATTTGTCAACTGTGCCACCCAAGAAATATGTTTCAGACTATAAATTGGATTGAAATGTTACCAACGATCTGATGACTCACAAATTCTGTAACAACATTAAGAGCCATGCTGTGGAGATAGATGTGGCCCATTGTTTTACATCTTCCACTGCCAATCAGATTCTTAAAAGAAGCAGGATATGAGTACCACAAAGCCACTCTGTTTCTCTAGAATTGATGTACAGTCTCATGAAGAATAGAAAAAAAATATAAATGAAAAGAGGAACAGAGTAGAGTAGAGTAGAGTAGAGTAGAGTAGAGTAGAGTAGAGTAGAGTAGAGTAGAGTAGAGTAGAGTAGAGTAGAGTAGAATCTGGAAGGAACCTTGGAGGTCTTCTAGTCCAGTCCCCCATTCACGCAGGAGAACCTATACCATTTCAGACAAGTGACTGTCTTCTCAAAAATCTCCAGTGATGGAGCGTCCACAATTTCTGGAGGCAAGCTGTTTCACTGGTTAATTGTCCTCACTGTCAGGCAGTTTCTCCTTAATTCCAGGTTGCTTCTCTCTTTGGTCAGTTTCCAACCATTGTTTCTTGTCCTGCCCTCTGGTGCTTTGGAGAATAATTTGACCCCCTCTTCTTTGGGGCAGCCCCTCAAATACTGGAATATTGTTATCATGTATCCCCTGTTTCTTATTTTCTTTAGACTAGCCAAGCCTAAGTCCTGCACTGGGAATTCTTCTAGAAACCCCTCAATTTAAGAAGCCACTTAAAAGTGCTCACAAGTGACACTTGGTCTAGAGCAGTGGTTCTCAACCTTTCTAATGCCATGACCCCATAAAACAGTTCCCCATGTTGTGGTGACCCCCAAGTGGGTGGGGCCACCAATAAGAGGGAGTAGGACAGCTAGGGAAAAGGGAAAAAAATGGCGGACTGCGTTGTTTGGCGACCCCTGTGAAATGGTCGTTTGACCCCAAATGGGGTCCCGACCCACAGGTTGAGAACCACTGGTCTAGAGTTTAAGGCACCAGACTAGAAAGTGGGAGACTATGAGTTCAAGTCCCACCTTATCCATGAAAGCCAGTTGGGTCAGTCCCACTCTCTCAGCACTGCCCACCCCATATGGTTATTATTGTGTGGAGGAGGTGGGGTGTTGGATATGCTCGCTGCCTTGAGTTATTTGTAAAAATAATAAAAGCTGGATTCAAATAAATAAATAAAATCTATAGAATGACATTTGCGGAAGACTAGAAGTACAGCTCCACCCTACTTAATCCAGGCTACAATGAGATACCTCTGATTCCTGTCTAATTCTCATTCCTGTTTAATAGGATGGAAAACATTTGTTTCATTCCAATTATCTACTCTTTGATTAAAGCCAAGATCTAGACTCACTAGGATGTAAACATGCCATCTAGATCAGAGGTTCCCCAAACCCCAGTCCGGCATGCCAGCAACTGGTCTGACAAACAAGGAAAGCCCCATCTGTGGGATGCAGGCAGCACACAAAACCACGCACTCTCCGGTCTGCAGAAAACCTCGTGCCCAAAAGGTTGGGAATCTCTGATCTAGATGTAGTAGTTAAGCTGTTCGATTAGGATTGGTGGGGGGGGGTCAGTAAAGTCAACTGATTCATTTTGCCTGATCATTCTCTTTCAGCCAAATTCACCTAATCTGGTTATAGTGGTAAAGAAAATTGGTAGCTGGTTCATACCATGATGAACTACTGGAAGACAGATAGAATATAAATTTAAATTTTAATCTAATTTAGTCTAAGCTAAGAATACTATTGGCCACTGATTTCACTGTGATAATCGTGCCAAGATATGGGTTTTTTTCCCAACTTAAATTAGTTAACTTTCACTGTAATGTGTCCAACTTTTTAAGCTCAAGAGAGGCAATAAATTAACAGATCCTAAATAATTCATTATCAGTGAAAAAATAATGTTGCTACTAACAGCAATTAAGAAGCTTTATAATCAATGATTTATTTTTCTTCCTTTGCATTCAGTCCTTGTTCAGGATAAATTATACTTTCAAACATGATCTGGATGCAGTTTCACTGCCATTCCAAATTAGGGTTCAAAAGTATCCTTCCTTCCTTCCTCCCTCCCTCCCTCCTTCCTTCCTTCCTTCCTTCCTTCCTCCCTCCCTCCCTCCCTCCCTCCTTTTCATACACTTAACTGAAACTACAAAGGCATTTGATGACATTGTGTTTTAATTTATATACTGGTCAGGAAGGAAAAGATTAGTTATCCATGTTTCATCTCACACTAAAGCAGGGCTCATTTTTTCTCTGTGTGAATAGATGAAAAGAGTTAATTTCCTACTATAGCAATGGACCACTTCTTTGTGGCCACAACTCACCTCCTCAACCATGATGTTTCCAGTGATGTGATGAAGATGTGTTCCATTTTTTGATGAATTTTATCTATGGTAGGTGGCTGGATTTAAGGCTAAGAAAAAGAACTGGGAAGTCTCTGGGAGACAATCATTCCCATTCCCAAGAACAATTTTGGACTATTTTGGAAACTGGGGGAAATGGGTCCATAAGCTTTCTCTTCTAATCCTCCTTTTTAAAAAAGAGAAAGAGAATAAACTTAAAGCGCACCAGGTGGAACACAGTAAGCAGCCTACGATTATCTATCCCTGTGCTGCTAGATAAAGTGGGGCATTTAATTAATTAATCAGGGTAATGGCTTGCTACAGGAGCTGTGGGTGCTCCATCACTGGACAGTTTTAAGAAGAGATTGGGCAATCTTTTGTCTGAAATGGTATAGGATCTCTTGCTTCAACTGGGAGTTGGACTAGAAGACCTCCAAGGTCCCTTCCAAATCTGCTATTCTGAAAGTATTTATAGTAGCCAGAGATGGCTCTGCTTTAGCTCAATACTCACAACTGAAGCATGCCAGCCTATTCTTTTGTCTCTTTATCCACAGCAATATTCCAAGATGTCCTATTAAATCGACTGAGGATTCACGAGAAGTGAACGCAGCTGCCTATAAACAAACCGCTTTCTTAACATTTAATGTTTAGACTGAAATCTTGTGATGATGCCTCTGATATATATTTCCTATATTTAGGCTTGCACTGACTTTCAAATTAGCTTTTTGGGAGACTGCAAAATCAGAAGAAGAAAACCTCATTATTCACTACGATCCAACCATCACTTTGGCATTTTAATTTGCAGACTGTTCCTTGCAACTGCAGAACTGCTTTCTTTCGAGGGTTTAACACTCTAATTTATTTTATTTATTAATCCCCATTAATATTCCATTAAAGTGCTTTTAAGAGACTTACAATAAAAATGAGAACACAAGTACACCAATCAAAAGCATTAATAAGATAAAAGATATAACTTATTTCCATCTGATTAAATCCTTCTTAACAACTGAAAACTCTTAAAACTATCTTCAAACATTTTCTAAAAGCTAAAAGTGTCAGCTAATCTCAAGGTCGATCCAGAGGAGGAACTATGACTGGGAATGTAATTTTCCAGTCCCAAACCTTTTATCTGGCAGCATCTGAAGCATCCCCTCTCTACTGCAACTTTGACAATGGACAAAATTGACTCTTATCTGGCATCAATTTAGTATTGACCTTCAGTTGATTTCTTGAGCTGAATATATCTTCTGTACTATAAATGGTCCTTATTTACTGTGCCTAACAAGTTACTTTTCCAGTCCCACCTAAAAGTCTCAGGATCAAAGATTAAAATCACACAATTGCTATAAATGCACCCACACGTAGCATAAGGTTCCTTACCAAAATTTGGGATTTAAATCAGGAGTGCATACTTTATCTTACAGCTATTAAACCTAATGCATTTGGTTCCCTACAATATGTAATCCATTCTTATATCAGCACACCACAAATAGAAAAATAAATGGAACCTGTTAGTGATCAATCAGTCAGTTTAAGACTGGAATTGATTTTTATTAATCTTGACATTCTCAGTTCATCAAATTTTCAATTATCTCCTCTCAAGGCTTCATTTGTATTTAACAGACCCACAGACTGATCACAGGAAAATTGGGATGAAAATACTTAAATTTGATTTCATTATCCTAAATGTATAGGTCAGAATTATGTCGAAGATGAATCTACTATAGCAAATTAAAGAGACATGCAAATAGTTGATATAAGGTATAATACTGGCAAACAATCTAATTTTACTAGTGTTATAGCATGCATTTTAAGTTATGACAGACAACAGATATACTCACCGGAACTTTACTTCCAATTATCTGCATGCAGTGATCAACGGAGAGAAGTGATAGCAATAAATAAAAACAAAACACAAAAAAGGTACAATAAATAAGCTGAAGCATTTCACACAACCCACCAAGTGTTTAGGATTTAGTAAATTGTTAAAAGATGATTAAAATTAAAGCAGAAATATTCGTAAACAAGCAAGTCCATGAATTATAAAAACAGATACCTTAATTGCATATATTCATAACAGATTAATATAACAAAGAGGACTTGTTTGATTAAGAACACGGTGTATATTAGTGCATGCATGCAAACAGTGAAGAATTCATTAGGCACACATTTTCACAAAACTGCCTCTTTTTCCTGGGAAAAGCTTGTTACAGGTTAAGACAGCTGCAGCCAGCAGACTAAATTGCAATAGTACTTTTATTATGCTTTCACTCTAAAATTTAAATGGCTGTCTGTTTTCATTCAGTGCATCTATATAGAATGCCAGTCATAATAAAGAGTTGCATTGTGTTCATTTTGCAATTTACAATTAATTACTATATATAATTCTATGTTCCTACTTTTTGAAAACAAGGTGATTAGAATACAAGATAATTCTCTTTTTGCAATTATCACGCCAAAGGGTTCACAACAGGAGAAAACTGTGCTGCTGACTCAATTCTAGACCTGATTTCTAAAGAGACTGGATAGAAGAAAGATGTAGTTTGAAATAATAAGAAAGAGCAAAATCAGTCAATCTATCTATCTGTCTATCTATCTATCTATCTATCTATCTATCTATCATCTCTCTCTCTCTCTCTCTCTGTCTCTCTGTCTCTCTGTCTCTCTCTCTCTCCATCTCCATCTCCATCTCCATCTGTCTATCCATGGCTCTTGTAGCACAAAGAGATGTTTGCTTCACCATTGTTCTAGCTCAGTGTTTCTCAACCTTGATAATTTTAAGGCATGTGGACTTCAACTCCCAGAATTCCACAGCCAGCAATGCTGTATCTTTTGCCAACTATTACCAGATGGAATGTTATTGATCAGAGGAGATATCTGATACAGAGAAAACATTTTAATGCAGTCATGCAATGGAATACAGACTTAAGAGGCCAAATGCGTGCCAGAAACATCTGAGTTCAAGTCCCCATTTAAATATAGGGCTTTCAAATTCAAATACCTGAAGAATTGTCTAACTGCAACAAGGATTAGCCTGTTCCACTCTCACAGACAAGACGGGCATGCTAAAGACCCAGCAAGAAAAGGAATTGACTATGTATATTTCCTGGTAAAATACATGGGAAAATCCCACTTAGGGTTAGGGTTAGGTCTCCATGAATTCAGAGAGCAAAATGGACATTGCCAATGGATTCGTAACCTATCAGTATTCTTAGGAGGGCATTGACTTTACCAGCCTGCTCTATCTATGTTTCCTGGGAAAATACATGGAAAAATCCCATTGGGGGAAAATCCCACTTAGGGTTAGGGTTAGGTCTCCATGAATTCAGAGAGCAAAATGGACATCGCCAATGGATTCATAGCACATAAGTATGTTTAGGAGGGCATTTACTTTTCAGGCCTGCTCTATCTATGTTTCCTGGTAAAAAACATGGGAAAATCCCATTGGAGGAAAAACCCACTTAGGGTTAGGGTTAGGTCTCCATGAATTCGGACAGCAAAATGGACATCACCAATGGATTCATAGCCCATCAGTATGCTTAGAAGGGCATTGACTTTTCAAGCCAGCTCTATCTATGTTTCCTGGGAAAATACATGGAAAAATCCCATTGGGGGCAAAACCCACTTAGGGTTAGGGTTAGGTCTCCATGAATTCGGACAGCAAAATGGACATCGCCAATGGATTCGTAGTGCATCAGTATGCTTAGGAGGGCACTGACTTTCCAAGTCTGCTCTATCTATGTTTCCTAGGAAAATACATGGGAAAATCCCATTGGGGGCAAAACCCACTTAGGGTTAGGGTTAGGTCTCCATGAATTCAGAGAGCAAAATGGACATCGCCAATGGATTCGTAGCGCATCAGTATGCTTAGGAGGGCATTGACTTTCCAAGTCTGCTCTATCTATGTTTCCTGGGAAAATACATGGGAAAATCCCATTGGGGGCAAACCCCACTTAGGGTTAGGGTTAGGTCTCCATGAATTCGGAGAGCAAAATGGACATCGCCAATGGATTCATAGCACATCAGTATGCTTAGGACGGAAATGACTTTTCAAGCCAGCTCTATCTACGTTTCCTGGGAAAATACATTGGAAAAGCCGATTGGGGGAAAAACCCACTTAGGGTTAGGGTTAGGTCTCCATGAATTCGGAGAGCAAAATGGACATCGCCAATGGATTCATAGCACATCAGTATGCTTAGGATGGAAATGACTTTTCAAGCCAGCTCTATCTACGTTTCCTGGTAAAATACATGGGAAAATCCCATTGGAGGAAAAACCCACTTAGGGTTAGGGTTAGGTCTCCATGAATTCGGACAGCAAAATGGACATCGCCAATGGATTCATAGCCCATCAGTAGGCTTAGAAGGGCATTGACTTTTCAAGCCAGCTCTATCTATGTTTCCTGGGGAAATACATGGAAAAATCCCATTGGGGGCAAAACCCACTTAGGGTTAGGGTTAGGTCTCCATGAATTCGGACAGCAAAATGGACATCGCCAATGGATTCGTAGTGCATCAGTATGCTTAGGAGGGCATTGACTTTCCAAGTCTGCTCTATCTATGTTTCCTGGGAAAATACATGGGAAAATCCCATTGGGGGCAAAACCCACTTAGGGTTAGGGTTAGGTCTCCATGAATTCAGAGAGCAAAATGGACATCGCCAATGGATTTGTAGCACATCAGTATGCTTAGGACGGAAATGACTTTTCAAGCCAGCTCTATCTACGTTTCCTGGGAAAATACATTGGAAAATCCAATTGGGGAAAAATCCCACTTAGGGTTAGGGTTAGGTCTCCATGAATTCGGACAGCAAAATGGACATCGCCAATGGATTCGTAGCCCACCAGTATCCTTAGGATAGCATTGACTTTTCAAGCCTGCTCTATCTATCTTTCCTGGGAAAATACATGGGAAAATCCCATTGGGGGAAAATCCCACTTAGGGTTAGGGTCAGGTCTCCATGAATTCAGAAAGCAAAATGGACACCTCCAGTGGATTTGTAGCTCATCAGTATGCTTAGGAGGCCATTGACTTTTTGAGTCCGTCTTTTTTTCGGTGGCTCCTGATGTGCTACAGTCTACATCAGGGATCCCCAACCCCCGGTCCGTGGACCGGCACCGGGCCGCAGCATACCAGCAACCAGGACACGCAAACAAGTAAAGCCCCATCCACTGGATCAGGGAGCACATGAAACCATGCCCCCTCTGGTCCACAGAATCGGTCCCTGGTCCCCCAAAAGTTGGGGGCCTCGGGTCTACACTACCATATTTTAATGCATTGTTTATTTATTTATTTTGAAGCACTGAAGTGCTTTCCCATTCACAGGAAATTGACAGCTGTAGCTGCATCACAGCTAACTGGTACCTATCTACACCCTAATAAAAGTTTTGATGCTTGGAAATGTTTGCTTTCCCACGATGGAATTTTTCTTCCCCCAGTTCATTCTTTTTCTACCAAATCCAATGGATGAAGTGATATACTTGTAGAAATGAGGTGGAAGGGACGATAATTTGCAATTCTAGAAGCTTAGGGAATGCAGTACTGCAGGCCACTTTAGCTGATTGTGTTCAGCAGGTCAGCGGTTCAAATCTCACCGGCTCAAGGTTGACTCAGCCTTCCATCCTTCCAGGATAGGTAAAATGAGGACCCAGATTGTTGGGTGCAATGTAAAAATATATATATACATTGCTTACTGGCGTACACCGCTTAGAGAGTGCTTGCACTTAAAGCGGTATATAAGTCTCATAAATAAATAAATAAATGCTTTTATTTATGTTTGTCCTGTTTTGCACTTTGCGTAACATTGCTTACCCCAAAAAGGGACCAGCCTGATGGATACTAATGCATGTATATATGTACAGTTGAGTATGCTATTAAAATGTTTGCATGTGTTCAACTGTGCATTTGGAGCTGCTTGCTTTCTGTTCTCTATTTACAAAAAAACTGGGCAAACATGTGCCTAATCTCATTTATGAAGTTTGCTTTAATATAACACATGAGTATTCATATAGCGTTATCTCCATTCTGCATTCCGATTTAGTTAGGTTAGAATTATTCTAATTCTGCCTTTAGGTATTTGAAAAAGGGAACGGAATACTCAAGCTTGTGTTCGCCAAATCACCTTGCTACAAACAATACAGTAACTTGAGCACAAAACTGAGTAAAGATTTGGCGGGTTTTGGTTTCAAAGAAAAGCCATATCCATTGCATAATTCTGTCTAAAATAGGCTAGGGGCAAAAGCACTTATCAGTTGAAACATATTTCTGCCCCTGGATAACCAAGCAAATTAAAGAATGTGAAATCTATCCATTCTGATTGTGGTACCAGCTTGTAAAATTTTTAACAAAAAATGAAGAAGAGAAGCTGTCGCTATTGTTTTCATCTCTGCCATGTTTCCTATTTTGCTTGTTTGTTAGGTATAGCAAAAGATATTTTGTACATAGGATGATATCTGAGAAAACCTACAATCTTAAGTAGTTGGAGCCTGATATTAATAGGATTGTGTTATTTACAATCCCAGTGCTGTTTTTTTTCTCCATCAATATAGGAAAATGCTACAGTGGATACAAATAGTCCTTGATTTATGATCATAGTTGAGTCCAAAATTTCGGTTGCTAAGCGAGACACGTGTTAAGTGAGTTTTCCCCTCATATTACGACCTTTCTTGCCACAGTGGTTAAGTCAATCTCTGCAGTTGTTAAATTAGGAACATGGTTGTTAAGTGAATCTGACTTCCCCATTGACTTTGATTGTCAGAAGGCTACATAAAGCGAGCGCAGGACACTGCAACCGTCATAAATACGAGTCAGTTGCCAAGCATCTGAATTTTGATCACGTGACTATCGGGATGCTGCCATGGTCGTAAGTGTGAAACATGGTCTTAAGTCACTTTTTTTCAGTGCCGTTGTAACTTTGAACTGCTGTAAATCAAGGACTATCTTTTCGGTGTGGTAGTTTGGAAGTCATCAAATGCATATTTCTGTTAGCAGAACACGAGCAATGTCGCTTTAAAGGCAGGGATGCCCAACCCCCAGACCACCACTGGTCCGTGGCCCATTTGGAACCGGGCCACGCAAGTGGCAGGCCGGTACACACATGTGTGTGCGCAGTTTGACTTGTGCAAGTGGTGGGCCGGCACATGTGCACACATGCACACAGCTCAACTTGAGGAAGTTGAGCTGCCCACACTTGCACATACACACCGTCCTGCTGCTCACGTAAGTTCAGCTGCACCCACCCCTGACCCCAAAAGTTCAGTTGCCCCCTTCCCCTCTCCCTCCCTCTTCGCCTTTGTGCGCCCAAGGCACAAAGTTTGGGGTCTGTTGCCTTAAGGTCCTGTCAAAATCCCATCTCTCTTGAATACAGCATTTTTATAAATGTATCTGAAATACAGTACTTTTAAGACTTGAGAACAAAATGAGTTGCAGGAAGTCCTCAGCTTACAACTGCTTGTATAAGCAACAGTTCAAATTTACAATAGCACTGGGAAAAAAGTGACTTAGAACCGGTTCTCGCACTTATAACCACTGCAGCATACCCACGGTCATAACTGGCTGCAGCATTCTGCAGTCGCTGATTAGCATTTGCAAACTTCCCAGATGGCTTCTGACTAGCCAAGTCAATGGCGGAATGACTCCATGAGTCCTTTAAAAACTGCAGGGATTCACTTAACAACCCTCGCAAAATAGATGACGAAATCTGGTGTGACTCAGTTAACAACCAGTTTATAACTGACATTATCAGCTAAAATTCTGATCCAGCTGTGATCAAGGACTGCCTGTTCCGTGTAATTCCACAGGCAAGGAATTTATTGGCCTAGAACTACAATTTGTTTCAAGGCATGAAAAAACAAAAAACAAAAAAGTTTCCAATTTGAGTTCAACACAACCAAACCGACAACAGACTGTTTTATTAGCCCTTGAAAGGTGTTTACTGCTCGGCCTTGTATCTTGTATTTTAAAGCCATTGATTAGACTCGAGAACCTTTTGTAAAAGCGACTTCGCAAAGAAAGTGTTGCTTGCACAATTCTTGCAGAATTTTACGTATACTAACAATCATAGATAGGATTCCTCTTGGATCCAAACAGATTTGAACATCACGAGACAGGAGAGGAAACATCCCAAGAAAAAAGAGCATAGGAAAATGAAATCATTGATCCCAGCAGGTTTTTTTTTTAAAAAAAAATTGCACCAAATTTATAGCATCAGTCAACAGGAAGGCAGTTAGGAAAGATATTTTTGCACCTTAAATCAGAAACTCCCAAGTTTTATTTTTATTTTGCTATCATGCATGCGAGAGACACTGTGGAAAAAGCTTGATAATTATTCCAGAGCAGTGGATTTAAAATACTTATTAGTTTACTGTAAAGAGAGAATCATGTTTCAAATTGCTATCAGGTTGTGAGATATGCAATACATTCTAATTAAGGCTTTTTATCTACCCTTGAAGGCATTTTAAAGGATTTCAGCAAGGAAGCTTTGTAGATGCTCTTAATAATGATAAACTGAAGCAGAAATTTGGAGATTTGGGTTGAAAACTACAGATGTTGTTAAGAGTATTAGTCTGACCTATCTTAGGAAACGAGGAAGGCACAAATTCTACTTACAGATTTGGCAGTTGCGGAAATGTACTGGACAACCATTTCACGTTTTGTGGTCAAATCTTTATTCCGTAAAGGAGCTTTTCGTTCTTCATTTAGATTCATGTCTTCCTATAAATAAATAGGCATAACATTGCCAAGATTGGATTATTATGTCATAGTTTTACTTAATCTTCACGACTGCAGATGCTAAGAATCGCTCTACATCTAGGCAGAATATAGGGCTGACTGCTTTACTTGAGTCAGGCTATTCCTCATCATTATCCTAAGCTATTAGTTTATGGAAACAGCTTTAATGTACACTTCAAACTCTTCTTTTTTAGCCCCCATATCATACCCAAAGCCAAGACCGGAATTAGTGCAGGACAGGGAAGAGATATGTGTCTCAGCTCAAAAATTGTTCTAACAAGTCATCAAGGAATTATTTATTCCAACAGAAATTGAGAAGGGCTGGAAAACAGTATAAAGACTGAAGGCAGCCATTTTCTCTATTTTCTCTACTACCCCATTAATTTGCACATTAAAACAGTGGACAACATTTTGAAAACAGTGTTAACATAACTTGCATTAAACATGGCTCCCAACATTGTCTTCTGGAAGGATGTATCCCAGATTTTAAAATACTTAGCACTTAGGAATGATTATGATAAATGTAATTTGATGGTGAGCATAAATAACTATCAGTCTTACATTTAAGCAGCATATTTAATGTGTGACAACAGATGCACACATACATACATACATATAGAATACATATACATTTTTGTTTACTTCAGAATTTCAGTCAGTCTTAGACCAGTCGAAGCAATGTATCCATTAATGCTCTGAGTGCTTATAAATCTATCTTAAGAGTCAGTAAATAAAATTTAAGACAAAACTAAAATATGTTTATAAAACAACTTGTCTAGAAATCCATTTGGAATAAAGACCAAATGGAACAAACCTATCTCTAGATTACAAAGTAGTATCTAAAATTGTATAAAATGGGTAGCATCTAAAATTACAAAAATGTGACAGTAACTAAAATTTACATAAAATGTGATGACATATTAAATTAGAAAAAAGTGATATCAAAGACTAGACACGACCTTTGTAGACACTACCTAGTATATGTATCTAGAGGTTATTACATTTTATAGCAATAGCATTAGAGTTATATACCACTTCACAGTGCTTTACAGCCCTTTCTAAGTGGTATACAGAGTCAGCCTATTGCCCCCAACAATCTGGATCCTCATTTTACCAACCTCGGAAGGATGGAAGGCTGAGTCAAGTCAAACTGCTGGCAGTCGGCAGAATTAGCCTGCAATACTGCATTCTAACCACTGTGCCACCAGGGGTCTTTAGCTATTGCATCTGCATAGCAAGAACAAGGTTCATGAGGGGTCTGGTGGATCCCACATGCTGTGGTGTAAAAACCAAGCTACATGCATTGTAATAAAAGTCAATTTATCTATGACTAACATCTCGGCATAGGCCAACTCTGAGCAACCAAGGTATCTGCTGATCAGAAGGAAGATCAATCTGGTACAAGTTTTGCTATAAAAAGAGCAATGAAGAAGAACATTCTCTGTGGTTTCCAGAAAGACAAAGGCAGGGTCTTTCAGAGCTGGCTCTTTTCTTATATGTGACATCTGATACTGCCGAGGGGAAAATATGGCATTGGGCAAGAGAAAAAGCTTGTCAGGAGTTGGGTGTTTCTAGTTTAAACCATTTCAGAATTTTTAAAAGAACAGAATTCATTAAAAATCTAAATTTATGACACAAAAACACGGGCTGGACTGTTCAAAAAAACAGGAAGTCTGACAAAAATGTCATACTGTAAGATCTATTAACTAGAATAGATTGTTTTTCTTCTTAAGCAGGCTTTGAGAGAAGACTGCTTGCAATTGCTTTACTACTTGGATTCTTCAGTTCCGTGGTATGTAAAACTGGACATGAAGTGGGATACGGAAGCCCCAAGAAATTCACGAGAACGCATTCGCTCTCATGAAAAGCAGTAGACCAAACAGCTTAATTGCTTGCTTAAATAATAGAGGACAGTGCATTTCCACTACATTACGGCCCATTAAAATGGAAAAGCAAGTTGATGCTTGACTCCTTGTGGCACATATGAGCACCGATCCGTATGATTTTTCTTGGCATCAATATTGCAGTGGTTTGCCAACACCGTGTTTCCTGATTTTTGTAGACTATCATCCCTAGTATTTGCTGGTAGTCTCCAGACAATGACTAACCACAAACACACAGAGGCAGTTGCCAAGGCAGACAAACCTAGCCAACAACCACTGTCAGCTGAGGCTCTTCACGCTAAAGGAGAGAGCAAATCAACCTCCATTATGTTATTTCCTACAAGATAACAAGCAGAGCTTAATCCTTGGATAACAACTGAAGACCTCCAGTGACTACCATAAAAACATCTCACAAAACTTTCACAAAAGGTCTTTAAAAAAAAACACATCGAATCTGGTTTTGAAGCAACAGCAACCTATACAAAATAAAAACAGAAAAATAACACCTGATCCTTAAGAATAATTTTTAATGGCTTAAGCTTTATAGAGCAAAACCTGTACACTACCATCCTCAACAGGGTGAGCTTCTCCTATAGTGATTAAGATCTGCTGCAATTTACATCATTTGCAAACCTCTATAACAGAGGTCCCCAACCTTTGGGACACCAGGGATCAATTCCATGGAGAAAAGTTGTTTTGTGGACCAGGGGGGTGCGTAGTTTTGTGTGCTGCCTGCATCCCACAGATGGGGCTTTGCTTGTTTGTGTGGACCAGTTGCTGGCATGCCGTGACCCGGTACTGATCCACAGCCTAGGGGTTTGGCACCCCCTGCTCTATAACATTTGAGCCATCTCATCATTAAGTAATTGATGACTTTTGCACAAATGTATCATCAGGCCAAAGTCATAAATTCATACACGTAGCAAAATGTCTCTTCACAATGTTACTACGCAAATTAGGTAAATCTCCAGGGTACTCTACTTTCTGATTAAGAGGACATTTCTGAATAATCATCACTCTTCTCCAATTAGTCTTTTAAAAAGCAAGACTTCACTGTGGATAGGATTTTATTATTATTTTTTTGCAATTTTATAAATGTTCCTTTACATTTTTAAAATATTTAATTTTAAATTATTTGGGTTTTAATGTTTTATTATATTGATTAAACTGTACATCTTCCAGAGCTCCTCTATGAGGTAAATGGGTGGTCAAGAAGTTTGATATATAAATAAATAAAGAGGCTATAGGGAAATAAAACATAGGAAGTTTGAACAGCAACAGTCATATAATTAACAAATGCCCATTTATAAAATTGTTCTTCACGATGCAATTGTTATGGTAATAAGGTTCAACATGTTTCGTTTAAAAAAATATGAACTGCAGAACAGGACCTCATGTTAATCCTTTATATTTCTGCTAAAATGGACGACAGCCTGAAAACACATATTCCATAAAAAAATGTATTGGTTTCTTTGTTTTCGCTGCAACAGGCTAACTTGATGATAAATACGACGAAGGGGTGCTTTTAAATTTTTGTAATCTTCTTGACAAAATCCTTAATAACTTCCATTAGAAAATAATGGAAATAAGGTTTATTTACCAGATGGCTTTCATTTTCAAAACTATTTTCACTCACTGGTGAATTTATTCCATACCCATCGGCACCCTAATCATTAATGAGCATTTTGAGTTGCAAACTGTTAGTGGCAAATTGCAAACTATTGAAAAATTGTCTTTATGGGCTAAGACATGATTAATCTATTACACGCAATTATGTGGTCACTGAGAAGATGAAAATGTCACAAGGGCTGCCTATTAGCATCTTTATATGAACTAAAATGGGCTTTCTGGCCTTCTACTCAAGAAAACCAATGTCAAGCCATGTTAGAATCCTCCATCCTCAAATTGTCAACTTTTAATTAATGTTTTCACTTTTCTTAGGGAAAGGAACAGTTTCATTCAGAAGTTTAATAGACCAACGACACGGAACTCTCATACAAGGCGCTGTTCCTAATATAGCAGTGGTTCTCAACCTTTCTAATGCCGCGACCCCATAATACAGTTCCCCATGTTGTGGTGACCCCCAACCACTTATACATCACCGGGTGCCAGAGGCGTGGCCAAAGAAAAGGGGGAAAAATGGCAGACAGCCTTGTTTGGCGACCCCCGTGAAATGGTCGTTCGACCCCAAATGGGGTCCCGACCCACAGGTTGAGAACCACTGTAATATAGACACCCAAAAATAAAACTTACCATCATTTTCTCAAAGAGGTCCATAACTTCTTTTTCCGATAAATTCATTGATCGTTCATCAAACAGTGGTTGAGGCACTGGCAATTCAATTATAGAGGCCTGTGAGTCGATGGGGTGCTGGATAAGAAGTCTCTCCTTTTTGACTCCAGATTTCCTAAAACTAGTTAATCTGTCCCTCTGCAAAAAGAAAATAAATATTCTTAAACGTAGATTCTAGGAGAAAATGCACTGACTCATTACTTCACATGCTAACACAGGAATAATCATGCCCAAAATTAAGCCATACCACTTATTTCTGAGACTGTACTTCATGTGCTTTGTTCTACCTAATCTTGGTTACTGCACAGAATCAGGATATGTGGTTCATTAAAATAGCGAATCTCCAGGTCTGAAACCAAGTAGGTTTTGAAACCAGAAAAGCTAAGTTTAAACTGAGCCAATTCTTATTCTGCATCCATCTCTTCTGCAACTAAATAAGGCACAATCTGACTGAGATTCCAGAAGTACATTGTTCTCTGAAGTCTTTTAGGTCAATACGAAAACCCACTTCATGTATAAAATTAAAATAAGGTATTTAAGGAAAGAACACTTAGACTTTGAGAACATTTTTACATATCTAACACTTAGTTTTGTTCTTACATAATCGCAGCATGCTCAGCTTCAGAGTATAAAAGAGTATAAAAGGGACATCATTTCCATAAACTGTTGACTGGAGAATGTTTAATAAACTGAATATAAGTTCCTTTCGTAAAGCCTGAACCAAAGCATTTTTAAGGCCCTCCATGATATAAGTACAGTCTCATCACAGAAGCAAATAAGCTGTAAAGATGCTTTACGTAACATAAAGTTACATGCTTCATAACATTAGTTGAAGATAACATTAGGAAGCGCAATGTTGCAGGCAGAAGGGCTCAATCTATTGTTTCTCTCAGCACTGCATGCAAGCCTGGTTATATATTAGTAGAAAAGAACCTAGTTTGGCTTTTGCTTAGCTGGAATATATGCAGTATAACGAGGTTCAGCAAAAGGATGAGGGCCACTTCGAATGGAGGGAAACCTTCCTGAGATGAATGAGACAGATGTAGCTTGGTAAATCACAGAGGATTTTACTGCAACAAGCTATACATCCAATGCCCCAAATACATAAGAGTGCAAAATTGCAGTAGTGGCCAATTCCTTTCAAGAAGATGTGAATTTATAGTATGTGTTGAATTGGAGATAGAAGTTTTTTTTTTTTTTTAAATAAACAGATCAGTCATCACTAAGGGTGCCATAATTGCTTTTTGGAATCAGAATGCATCATAATATCAGGCGACGTTATCTACTTCCCATTTTAGAAGACTGGTTAAAATTATATCAACACATGGAAGGCTGGTACCCAGATCCTAATTTTGATCTGTCATCATGGCAACCAATTTAATTTTGAGATTTCCTTGGAATACAATTCTCTTTGGTTGGAGGTGACAGCTTGTGACCCTAGTATAAGAACCAGTTAGGATGTTAGTGGTTGTTAATTGGAACACATCGTATATCTCTATTTATAATTAAAGTTATGCAAGATACTGTAAGCAACATGCAGTAGAAATACAAACCCACATATGAGGATCTTACCACATCATCTGCCAAAGTTTTTATCTGTAGATTCTATGCAAATCAAGAAGACAAGAAAATGTGTGTTACCTACTGTAAATTAAATTTAGAGGTCCCTCTTTTCATATATATTAAAATCTTTATTTTCTCACTAATAAATGAGTAAATATCAACCTCAAAGAGTATCAAACTTATTGCCATCACAGAAATGTCCTCCAGAATGCAGGTTATTACCCACATCATTCTAAACCAGGTGTGGCTGGCTCAGGAATTATGGGATTTGAAGTCCACAGGTCATAAAGTTGCCATAGTTGCCCAGCCCTGCTCTAAACCCATCTATTCAACCATTCCACTTTCCAGTTTTCACCATGAAACCTGTACAAAGAATACGAACTAAAGGAGAAGATCTTCAAACAGAAAGAGAGAAAATCAAATAAATAAATAATTGATGTGATATATTATTTTCATTCTGCCAATTTAGAATCAACACAAAACAAAACCTTGTAATTGGAAAATTGGGTCTATAAGATATGACATTTTGATCACTGCTGCAAAACCTTAAAATAAACTGTCAACATATAATGTGAAACAAGAAGTTACTTGGAAGTTTTGATAATGTACTTGGCCAAAATATACAATATGGCACCTTGTCCCAATTCCTTCCTTCCTTCCTCTTCCTTCCTTCCTTCCTTCCTTCCTTCCTTCCTTCCTTCCTTCCTTCCTTCCTTTCCTTCCTTCCTTCCTTCCTTCCTAGCAACCAACCTTGATTCCTATGACTCAAACCACCAGACTCCTTCTTTACTAAAATGTTACTATGCTGTCAGAGATTCTTAGAAAACAAAAGTAACCGAACTTGCTTTACTAGAAGGGTGTTCACCTACTTCTAACAAAATAATGTTAAGCAAAAATGATAGACACACCACAGATTCCTCACTAGATTCCTTTTTGGTAAATAGCTACTACGTAACTGGTTACACCTAACCTATTTGCTGATTAATCTCCAGAGTACATTCTCAACATTCTAAATGGGCTCAGCAGCGCCCACTCACTCCAGAATAGCTTACTTCTAATCAAACTATCCTGGCCTTTGATCACAATTCTTCATAATTCAATTGGAGCTACAGTGGTATAGTCATTAGGATCTTGGACTGGAATTGGAAAAAAACAAAACAGGTTCGTGTACATCTTTGGCCACGGTTCAGTCATCAATTCTAGACCAGCCATCCTCTCCCACTGCAATGGGGAATGCAGGAAACATGTTGGAAGGGACTACTACGTATCTGATCTTGTGTACATGCATAGGAAGTGGGGATTGACCTCTAGCATATTAATTAATTAAAATACAAGTAGGTTCACCGCATATTGAAGAGCCGCTTCTTTAGGAACAAAAACCTAGCTTGTAAAATGTTGCTTGTAAAATTTTGAAAAGTCCTTCAAACTATGACACAGAACTAGCTTTTAAAAAAAAAATCATGATTTATCACAGAAACTCAGGGGGTCACTGCTGCTTAAGTAGCAATCTCTTATTCTGCTAAACAAAAACATTTTCTCTGGGAACAGTAACAGAACTGCTAGATATTTACTCTCTCATCCAATGTGCCACCTAACCTCATTTGTTTCATTTGACCCATACAGTGGCGACTGGAACATTTCTCTTTTATGTTATGTATTCCAAACTATTTTTAGAAAGAACACGCAGCACTACATTTCTGTTTCATATAATAACTCAGGCAAAGCTATTTGGAAAGTTAGTTTGAAGCTGTTGTTGCATTCTGGATGTATTCCTATTTTTTTCCCCAGCAATATACCACATGTTGTATTAAATGCGGCTACACTTATTTATTCCAATGTATTTTATTCATCAATAATACATAAGATTCTTCACTTCAAAGCTCATCACAAACAAGAGAAAAGCTATTACAGTACAATCCAGTTTGTTTTCGAGCTTTAACTATGACTGATTAACTCTTCCTGTAATAGCACAGGAAATCTTTAGTGTTTCATCAAGGTTGCCATAGAAAAGCAGACATAATTCAAGGTGTAACTAGTCAATTATTGCAACTAGCATCCTTGAAGGACGACTTGAAGCCTAACACCGTTAACAGTCTGAACTCAATCTTGCTTTAATTGCCTGAGATGAACAAGTTTGGTCTAAAATCCACTTTTATTCAACAGACTACTGAACTGCAGGGGGAAAAAATAATAATGCTGATCGCTTTTCCTATCTATTTAGGAAATTGAATCCATGCTGGATAGGACATAAGCAAGTAATTTCTACTCTAATGTTTGCATTTATTTCTAAAAGTGCACTGCTTCAAGAAATGAGCAAGCTGATGGGGAAACGAAACATGATCTGGATGCTGCTCAATTTGAAAATCCCCTCTATCCACCCCCCCACCCCCCTGCTAGTATTTAATGGTGGAAAGGACAAAAAGACAACATACATGAATATTTTTATTATTCTTCGCCTGGCCTTAATTTGCCACTTTAAAAGCATGTTGGTTAAATTTCAACTTGCACAGCACTCATAAATCAGATAATGAGTATATAACGTAAACAAATCTCCTGAAACAACTAATGCTGATGCATTACTAATTAGTAAATCCAGAGTCATCAGAAAGTGTCTAATCTTATTTAATGAGTCATGAGTTCTACCAAAGGAGATCCATTCCAATTAATTCCACTAGAAGTCTCCACACAACTAGCAACACATTGCAAAGGAGTCCGGAAGCCACAACATCTGGAAACATAGAGCAGTACACTAGAAAAAGACCCACAAAAACAGAAAGAAGAAAAAAAAAGCCACAAGGACCACAATCTGGGACAACAAAAATGCACCTTCCACCCACAAAGAATATAATTTGCTTAGCCACTGTAATTGGCTAGGCAAGCAGATGATCCAATTGCGGTTTTTTAAAAAAAGATATGTTTTACAAAAATGATGGTGGCTTATCCTAACCAAAGTTTAACCGGAGGGAAAAGCATGTGAACCACAAGACGTAAGGTTTCCTCATGCAAAAGAAAAGAGGGTTAAAAAGGACTTCACTTCAGGAGTAATTAAAATCAAGCAAGCAATTTATTCAACTAAATAAATCAGAAGAGTTCGTGTTCATGCTGATGCTACTGAAGTGCAGGGTTTTCTTTATTCTGAATTTAAAATAAACTGGATTTCTTAAGCATATTTCATTGATTATGTGCCATTCAAGTCCATGTCAATGCTTGAAAGACCACAGACTGTAAACAAATTTTCGTGAGGACGTTCTGTCCTCAGCATAATTTACAAGGGCTTCTGAGGTCTATTTTTTCAAATAATAATAATAATAATAATAATAATAATAATAATAATAATAATAATAATAATAATAATAATAAAGACCTACAAATAGAAATAGAAAGACTGTGGCAAAAGCAAGCAAGGGTAATACCAATAGTCATAGGCTCCTTGGGTGCAATCCCAAAACAACTGGAGCACCACTTGAACACCATTGGCATTGACAAATTGCTATTAGTCAATTGCAAAAGGCGGCCTTATTAGGAACTGCTTCCATCCTGCGACGATACCTGTAATACCATCAAACATCCACATCTGCCTATCCCAGGTCCTGGGTAAGGACTCGATAGGTAGACAAAATGCCAAATCCAGTCTGAACATCTGGCTGACTGTGCGATGACTGATAATAATAATAATAGCTGTCATCAAAGTAGAGACAATTTCAATTTTTTAATACCTCTGCATAAAAAAGAGGTCTAAGAGTGTCAGGTTAAGATTGAGACTAGAAGCCTGGAGACCATGAGTTCTAGTCCTACCTTAGGCATGAAGCCAACCATGTCTCTCAGCCCTAAAGAGGAAGCAATGACAAACACTTCCGAAAACTTGCCAAGAAAACTCAGGAACTAGTCCAGGAAATCGCCAGGAGTCAATAATGACTCACATACATACGCAAAGACTATACAAGGTCTGGCACAATCTGCAGGCATTTTGCCATGTTACTGAAAGCCTTAGAGAGAAACATTCCTGAAAACAGCCTAATTTTTTTCTTTCCTGATTTAATCAGTTAAATGTTTTGCCTTGCGCACAATGTAGTACAAATAGCCACTTTTGTGTGTTACTAATGCTGTAATGATTTTGTAACAATCTTTACTTTGCTTGAAGAATAAACATAATTTGGAGGTTTCTAATAAAGTAGAAAAGCTTTTAACCATAGTATTTTTAGCTATATTTTTTTTCCAGTATCAACTGTAGTTTTGCTCATTTGGTATCCCAGTATTATTGTTATTCACATGAGGAATGCCTCATGTTGTGTAGTAATACCAACAATAATCTTCTACAAAGAGGAAATTAAATAAACATATAAAATTGTCATGGTGATTTTCAGTTATGACAGTGTTAAAAACAAGAAATACACCCTAGTGATTATTAGCTATTCCCATATGTGGATGCTCGCAGTCATATTTGGGTTAATTGACCAAGAATAATGGGTAGATCTAAAATTGAGAGTCTAGGATTGTTTTGAATGAAAAGCTAAGATCTTTCTTTCTCTTTCTTTCTTTCTTTCTTTCTTTCTTTCTTTCTTTCTTTCTTTTTCTTTCTTTCATCACAAATTTTAGGAAGGGAGAAATGCAAGACCTTATGTTTGTGGGAAAAAGATACCACACACAACCTGTTAAGCATGTGGGGTACAAATTTATATTCTTTAGTAATCTAGCATGTGGTGCTATTAGATTACTACATGTAGTAATCACTTGTGGATTACTTACGCTTTCACAAAGCTGTAAAAAGCCAGCTCTTTCAAGGTCAGCCTAAGATGATCTAATCCCCAATAAAGTATTTTGGCCTTTAAGTAAGTTTCCTCCCCTTCAATGTGGTATTTATCATTGCCATTTTGTTATTTTCCTTTTTCGTCTTCCTTCCACGCTGTTATTTTAAGCTCTACTTTGGACGCCACCTAGAATTACTCACGTGCTTGAGGTGATTGTGCTTTTCATATGATTTCTACGCTATCATTTTAAACCTACCTAGAACTGCTTCAGTGTCTGAGGCAACATCCGGGGGA